TAGTTTGACCATTTATGTTTTTAATTTTATAATCTCATGCTTTACAGATACACAACATGAGAGTGAAATACAAACTGTTACCTCCACTTTGGTTGAAGCGCTGCTTCAGGTTGTCCATGTCAGCTTTGAAGACGTGAGGCAGGTTCTCCAAACACTGCTGAGTGTACCACTCCTGCTGCTGAGGGTTGTGTTCAAATACTGTTTTCACCCAGTCCTGTTTTAGTTCTACTGTCTTTTTATCGGTGTCGCAGGAACCAAGTAAAAGGTCATCAACCACTGCAGCAACCACAAACTCTGACAGATTCGGGACTCCAGATGACGCAGTTAAGAAAAACGTCAGGGAGTGTTTCACTGCGGGACAGACAAGATTTATACACATCATCATCACCCTCATTATAAATGTGATGAATGAAGTATGATCCATTGTCAACAGTCGTACAAAGTACCTACTGCAGAAGTAAAAGTGAATCTAAACTAAAAGTGTGTCCTGGAGCTACGCAGGAACAAAATACACAGCCGAGTGGAAAGTGAGGCAAAGTCAAATTGTGATCTCACATGATGATGAAACGTGACAGATAAAAAGCAGTAAAAGTAACGTGTTCATCTCGTTTTCATGAAGACGTGTTTGTAAACCAGTGAGAAGGTTCGGCTGTTCTGTCCCGGTGGAGGGAGGTGGGGGTGCCTCTGTTCTGACGCAGCTAGGGACTGTAAGAAAGTTATTTTGGGATAAGTGACGGTGGGGTGAATCTCCTGTTTCATTAAATACATACAGCAAGTTTATTTTACTTATGATTCTCTTTGGATCTTCAAAAAAAAAAAAGAACAATAACCACCCCTAATATTTAAAAACAATACATTTATGACAGACATGACAAAGGGTAAAAAATACATCTACCCTACTTTTGAATCAAGAGCCAAGACATGTTTTTGTTTTTTTTCTATTTAAGGGTTCAAGCCTGAAGGGCTGTCATAATCAACGACAGAGATTTGTACGAAAATAGGTTTGCACTATCTCCGGTCATGTCTCAGTTGATGCATACAATTTGGAAATGATTGCTTATAGGGGGCGTGGCTTATTACAATAAATCTAAATTGCGAGATATTTCACATTCAAACTTCAAAAATCATAATTAGGCTAATCACCAGTGTGTCCAACAGAGCTGAATTTCTTTTATAGCACATAAACTGAGTGGTGACAGAAGTCGGTCACTCGATGTTTTTCGGAATATGCTAAATTAATCAACATCTACATCTCCAAAAGTCTTCATTCAAATGCAACCAAAATTGACACACTTTTTTTTTTGTACCAGATATCCCGTTTCAAATGGTTCAGATCGGTTTAACTGTTAGCTCACAGTGATATGCATTACCTTGTTGTAATTTGTACTGTCTGTGCAGCATTTTCTATTTCATCTCATTTTTAACCAACAGTCACCAAAATATTTGACAATATACCTGAAATCAGCAGAATGATGAGATTTTTTTTCAGGATTTTATCACCTGTTATTGATATCTCACTGTGTTTTGAAGACATTCACCAATGAACTTTTAAGGAGGCATGGCTTAGCACATGACTCCACAACCTTTGGGCCAACCATCACAAACCTTGCAAGCAATGTCGTATGAGGTACCAGGAACATATCCTGAAGGTTTTATTCAAATTGACCACTAGGGGGCACCACATGTACAAAAAATGGGCGTGGGATAATACAAATCAGACTAGACATCAGAAACTGTTTTTCAATCACCACAAAACTTAATTAATAATGATGAACCACGTGTGTTATTTTTTTTCAAAATTGGTCAATAGGGGGCGCCACAAGCACCAAACAAGTGCAATGGCCTTTAGCAAAATTTGACCATAAATTAACAAGGGTTTTTCCAAACATCACCAGAGTTGGACTTCTATAACTAAGCCATTGAAGCATATATTTTAGGTTTTAAATCTGGCCAATGGCATCAATTCTTAAACGTGTGGAAAATATGGCATTATTTTCTTAGTTGTTTCCTGTTATAAATAAATGATAAAAGTGTATGTGTAGTAGCTGCTACGTGTATATAGAATTTTTTTTTAAAACTCATATGTAAGGTAGGCAGACAATTCCCCTGTTCATTACTGTGCAGTAATGTGCTGTATGTACTCAGGCCTCAAGAAAAAAACATTGGGAGGAAGGATGCCCTTTTGTCCCACTTGAGCACCTGCCCTGCAAAATGTCTGTACACAGCATTGTCAAGAGCTATTAAATAAATGGTCATTCATGGGCTGGACTTGGCCCAGAAAATTAAACATGAATTAGATCCGGTGGCTGATCTTCCTATAGGCAACATAGGCGGTTGCCTAGAATGCCTCATCTGTGACCCCCAACCCTGGTGTATTTTTACTTTCTTTAGAATTATTATTTTAAAAAATATACATAAATTAAAGCTGCAAACAGCAATAAACAGGCCCTTGCACCTCTGCACAACCTGGGAGTCCTGGCAGGATGTTGGCTGAGGCAGCAGTTCATTCCTGTAAAAGTCAGACACTCTATGCAGGAGTGACATAGCATATCCTCCATGGAGTGTGGGCACTGGAACTACGTATTTTAGATTTTGTACCACCTCTTGTTTCCACTATGTGGCGCTGCAGAGGACATACCATGTAAATCGTAAGATATGTCTCTGACAAGTCTTACTTCCTGTTGCTAGTGGGTGGCGCAATCACTATGACATTCAATGTGTTTGCAGATGGCTTTAGGACTGGAGCCTCATAAAACATTTGAAGTTTAGGACGAACTGGACCATGTATGCTGGAGTTACAAACCACTTCCTGTTTGGTGGCACAACATGGAAGACTGACACCTCGCCATGGCCACACGGTTTGACGAAAACTAAAGCTTTGAGCATCTTTTAATGTCAAATGTCTTGAGATGGTACATACAAAATTTAAGGTTGATCTGATCTAATCTGCAGAAGGAGTTTGGTAAAGTACGACCCCTATAAAAGGCCAAAATGCACAATTTTTTTTTTTACATTAAATTCAAACTGGCTGACTTCCTGTTGGGTTTAGGGTATGGCTCGAAGAAACTTTTTTGTAAGTCTTGGGACGTTACATATGCCTACTAATTTCCATACATGTGGGTCAAACCAGTTTCCTGGGCTGCTTCTTAGAAATTTTGTAGGGGGCACTATTGAGCCATTTATTGGAACCCAAGCATGTTTTGCAAGATGTGATGTGTGTGCAGAGTTTCATGAGTTTTTGAGCATGTTAAGCCCCCCAAAAATGCGATTCATTTGGAGGAAGAAGACAAAGAAGAATTCCTTGGATTACAATAGGGTCCTTGCACTGTGTGGTGCTCAGGCCCGAATAATAAACAGAGCAATTTTAATAGGGCCTTGCAACCACCTGTGGTCGGTGCTTGGGCCCTAATAACAGAAAAAAATAATCCAAAGATCTAATGTGTACAGTCAGTCTGTAGTAGGGGTACCATCTCTAGTCCTGACAATGTGCTTCACCTTAATGGATTCACCAGTGATCATCAGAGTCAGAACATGCTAGAGCACTGATGGGGATGGTGAAGTGGAGTGTATGTGGAGAGTGTTAAATGAGAGAACATGAAAAGGCAAAAGCCATCAAGGGTGCAGTGCCAAAAAACAAACAAACAAAAAAAAACAGGAAAAGAACAATGATGTTAGTTGTTTATTTGTATTGATTTCTCATTGGCTCTTGTTCTTGCTGTTATTATCATAGTTATTATTATTGTCATTGTTTATTTTATTTTATTTTTTGAGCTGGGGCAGCCAGGAGAAGCTTGCTAGGTCCAGCAATGATTAGATCAATTAATGTTTGTTTGCAGGCTGATATGTTTGAATTTAACTGTTCATTGTAATTAAACCAGTTTGTAGTTCAACAAATATAGCCTATATAAGACAAGGGGTTATTAAATTATTAAAACACAATTTTCTTTTTACTCTTTTTATATATATTGATTTTGTGCCTCTTGATGAATATCATGTGATGCCGATGCAGTTAATAAAAACCTCAGGGTGTGTTTCACTGCAGGACAAACAAGGTTTATACATTCAGTACAAATGCACAGACATTATCACCACTCTTATCAAAAATGTGATTAAGGTAAAATACAGTCTTATCAAGTTGAGGTAAAAATAAAAGTCTATCACAGGTGTGTCCTTGGAGCAAAATGTGGACCTGAGTGAAAACACAGCAACTCTACTTGTGAATCAAGAGCTTTTAAATGAATGGTTATTAATGGACTAAACTTGTGCACTATAATATTTTTGCTCCAAAAATCAAACAACCTATAGTTTATGGTTTAAGTAACCAAGAGATGACATACGTTCAAGAGCAGCATTTTAAAATCAGACAGGCTGGCAGATGAACAATGTCTCATCACAACAAATGGTACTAATATTTATATGTAATAGTGCTTTAACATTATAGTTGTAAGGATTACATCTGCACTCATGTATCATTACAGCAGTCATACATTTACACAGCTGATTTTGTCCGTCCTATAGTTCCACAGGTTGGGGTCACATTCATTTGGTGTCTATGAATAATCGTGAATATTCATGTCACTGTAACTACAGACACTGGTCGTGAACTTATGTGTCTTTACATAAAAAGCCAGGCACCGGTTGCAAAAATACCTTAAATTATCTCCTTTAGGCTTAATTTTCCTTAGCTGAGGGACAGTTGCACAGAATCCCTTAAAAGGTCTCCTTAGTTAAGGATATACGTTAACTCACCTACTGCACTGAAAGAGATTTTAAGCTGTGAAAGTTTCCATGGAGATTGTTTGCTTGGACTCACGCTTGTGTTATCGTCGCACAAAGTTGGCCAATAGATGGTGAAAAAATGGCGGAGGAAAAGAAACATATTGTTCAGAGGAGGAAAAGATTATACCACTGGAGAAATATAATCATAGAAAACACATCCTACAAAGTAAATTTGATCCCCAAACACCAGAAAATGATTGTAGGAAGAAACTGCCCTGAAAATGAATTCTGTCAAATCTATAGTGGAAAATCAAAGGCGTATCCACTGGGCGCGTGGTCGCAGAACAGTCTTCTTGGGGTGTGTTAGTTTTTTGCATTTATCATGTTGCAGATAAGATGGAGTCACTGGTACCTTAAGTTTTTGGGTTTTTTTTGCTTGCTTTAGTTGCTAAGGTCTTCAGTGCAACAGTCTAGGGATTCCATTAGTATAAGACCAAAACAAGGAGAAAACCATGAATACTTCATTGAACATTTTAATGAGAAAATTTAAAGGTGTTTTGTCCAACCAATTTTATTCTGAGGAAACCTTAACGAGGACTTAAAGTAATATTTTAACTTAAGGTGTTTTGTCCAACTGGCCTCAGACCTTTTGACTGAAGGAAAAACATAAGTACAAAATGAATGAAACAGCAGTGCAAATGAATGAGACATCCAAAGAGAGTCCATGCCTTATTCAGCTTGTTTTTTCCTCTTAAAGCTGGGGTAGGCCGTTTTATTTTGGCATCATTTAGCAGAAATACCATGCTTAACTTGGAGCATGTTGTAATTTAAGTGGACCGAGAGAAACAAGACTTTTGCACCTTCTCTTGGTTCTGATTTTGGGCTTTAGAAAATCTAGCCTGTTACAGGAGACTTTGGACTATTGGCTGTTCTACAGATGCAGATGTGTGTGTATTGTCCCTTCTGTGAAAGCCTGATTCAACGGTGGAGAATCCTGCAGAAAAAGCTGCTATTCCAGCATTGGCTACACTGCCTACACTGCAAAGTAACCCAAAAAAAGGAGAATAAATTTAACAAAGAGAGTCTTAAAAATGAGTCTGACAGTATATGAAACAAAACATAACATTATTGGCAGTGTGTTACAGAGATGGAGAGAAAATGTTTCTAATTGCTTAGCCCTCTGATAAGTGGAGCCAGACGCTCTCAGCTGCGGCTTCATGTTCATATAGGCAGTATGTTGCCAAGTAAGCTGGAGTCTCAAATCCCTGTGTCCCCTCCTCCTCATTTTCCGCTACTACAGACCACCTCACCCCGAAGAGAGTAGGCAGCAGCTCCACAGATAGACCCCCATTCAGTGGCCGCAGCAATCCAAATCCAGCCAAAGCAAACCAAAGCTCCCTCCTGGATAAGCAAAATTTCTGTTGCTGCAGTTACACAGGTCAGACCGGCCACTGTTGCGGGCCACTAGCCTGCTGTGACAGCCACCAGCCGAATTCAAGCCACTACAGTTTTACATTAAATGGTAAAACAACTGGAGGTGTGAATACTTAATGTCACAGCACTGACTGTTCTGTAGTCCTACATGATGTCACTGTGTGCAGGATGGTGTGTTTGTCAGTCATGTTTCTGGATTCAGTCTCTCAGAGAGCTCAGAGCTGTTGACAGGAGCTGTGAGGTCAGAAACACACTGTTAGTCCTTTATCCTGCACTGAAATACGTCAACTCACACTGAAATACTATTACAATCAAAACCCTTCTTAATCTACAGAGTGTGAGTCAGATCAGAGACAATACAATATAAATAAGTTCTACTTACGAGGTGCAGGGCGACTGGCTGAAATATGAGGAAAAGAGAAATTTCAATTGTCACAGTTTAAAATGGCAAAACATTTATTTATACATCACTGAATAAAACCTGTTTCCTTGTCTTTTTAGATCTCTTTATATTTTGTGCATTAGATACTCTGTGGCTTACAGAGCTAAGGCTGATTGCTGCACTATTAAATGTTGCTTCAGTTTAGCAGTCTGAATAAGAGCATCAGCTCAGCTGCTCTGAGACTCTCACCTTTCTTCTTTTTGTAAACTGTAAATCCAACAGCAGCAATGAGGACAGCAGCAAGAACAACCACAACAGCAGTGATCGGGACAGTCATGTTATCTGCTCAGACAAAAAATAGATTTCAAAAATGAAAGAAAAATTATTACAACCCCTGCATACAAAGCAGTTCAGAACAGAAGAACATCCAACCATCTGATCATCACACATACAGGTGGTGGACCTCCAGGGGTCCCCAGAAAAATGATGAGTTATTTACAGTAACTGTTATAGTCACTATAGAAGTGAGCCCAATGTGAGTAAGAATCACAAGACAGACTATTCTGATCTCATAGATTTCACTTCCTCCATGGTTTTTCCCTCAACTGTTTTTTCCCTAACTGACATCTGTCAGTCTTGATCATATTTAACAGCCAAAATCTTTTCAGATGTCAACCCAGTGTCACTCCGAAGTTGTCGAAATCTGGCACTTGGGCAGTGACTTGCGGCATCACATGCTGATGAAAAAAGCCATCCTTTAATGCTGGCATGGTACGCAGTCGGTCGCTGTTATAGTTTAACAGCGCCAGGCGGCATCAGGGTGAAACGCGGCGGGGCAAGAACGAAAGTTAAGGCAGCAAGAGTCCAAGAAGGGCAAGTGGGAGGGGTGGTGGAGGGGTCCAACAAACACCGACCTTTACCCTGGAGAGCGGTGTTCACGTCCTTTAAGATTATAAAGCCAAACCTTGTTCTTTTTTTCCTAAACCTAACCACGTATGTTGATGCCTAAACCCAACCACATGCATTAGGTGTTGGAGGGGGAAAAAAAACGTCAATTTGTGTTGTTGTAACGACGTAGTGCGTTTATTTTGAAAGAGACAGTATGTAATTCGCAAATTTCCTGTGAAAATGGAAGTGTATTTTGAAAGAAGTCCTTGAGATGAAAAAGTTAGGGAGGAAAACAAAGACTGGTCTAGCAAAAGACACTATTGACACATATGGGAAACAAAGGATCCAGTCTTTTGGAGGATTTTAAGACCAAAGAAATCAAAGAAATTATGAAATCTGTCTTTGCTGCTATTTCTCTCACAACTCAGGCAGTATGATGGGAATGCAATACTAAGTTGCTTTAAATGTTGTTAAATGTCTAAGTTTGAACTTTCTGTGAATTTATTATATATCAAGAATGAGTCATTAGGGACTGTACTGTATTTGCTATTTTTGTACATCAAAAATATGCGATGACACTGTCAGGGTCACATGGTCTGAGCAGTGACCCTGGAAAAGGACAATAAATTAGTTTAATACTGATCTTAAAATCATCAACGAATCTTTAACAGATGATAAAAGTTGAACTGACAAGAAAGTCAAACATGAGACTGCTCAACATGAAAAAACTCACCTTTGCTATTTCTCAGCGCAGTTTTGCCCCAGTTGGTCCTGATCGCTGCTTTGTCCAGTGTGGTGACGATGTGGTCCTTCACACCAGAGAGATGAAACACACAGTCGTACCTCCTCCAGTCTTCAGGTGGGACTGATGAAAGGTTCAGGTCAACACTCATCTGGAAGGATCCATCGTGGTTGGGGAGAATCTCTCCGAGCTCCACGTCCTCATGAATCTCTTCTCCATCTTTCCTCCAGAACATCATGGCTCTGTCAGGGTAGAAACCTGTAGCGTGGCAGCTGACTGGAGAGGAGGGAGACTTCTGGAGGAGAGACACTGAGGGAAGGTCTGCACAGTTTAAAAAAAGAAAGTTTATATGACAACGGGGCTGGGATGTTATGTATTAAACACTAACATTAGGTCAGGCTAAAACTAACTGGAAACAGTGCACATATCTTGTACATTGATTCAAAAGCACAGCATTCAGTTTGCAGCACCAGAGTCCTGTTCATGATAATAATTCTGCAGTTAATGAATCATGATTATTACCATGATGTATGATTACACTGCAGCCTGTTTTCATTCCAAAGCTGTCAAATACCACCGCTTTGTCAGTGATTTTGGCGGCAGATACCTGATGCCTTAAGTCACCTTTCGCGGCGATATGATATGCCATTGGATGACATCAGGTTGAAATGCTGTCAGTAATGACATAATATAAGGAGCTGGAAAGTCTTTCTGGGGGATGGGGTCCAACAAATCCTGTACTTTCACACAGGAGCCCGCTGTTTGCTTTGCACATGAATGTAGAGCCATAGACCCTTTTACTGTTACTAAAAGAGATGTGACGAGTGGTGCACTAGCAAATACACATTCCCAGTGCTGGAGCGCACTCTGGTAGCCTGGAAATCCAGAATCAAATCTAGAAAGATTTAGGGTCTGGCTATGAGTAATGCAAATGGCCCAACTGGAGGGGCAGCACCAAGCATGCATTTGAAAATATCACTGCAATTGGATAACACTACGACCAATCAGAACAATAGATTAGACTCTTGCCGTATCCGGTCATCAAACAGCAAAAACGTCCTTCTTGCAAAGGAAAGACTCGAGTGCCGTCTTCTGTTCCTCTTTTAGAGAAAAAGTCTAACTCGTTCATTGTAGCGGCCAAAGCTGTTTCAAACAACTGGTGTTCATCCGTAGCCATCTTGCAGTGTTTACTGACTGATTCCGGACTTCGTCGTCGCAGCACTGTCGTCATCTGTTTAGCTCACCTGTGGCCCGCCTATGTCAGACTGGTGTTATTGGTGCAGCTCACCTCCAAGGGCATGGGTAATGAGCATCATTACTGATTGCCAGTGTGACTCGCTGAGCAAATTCAAATTGTGCTCTCGCGAGAACTCTTGATTTCCAGAGATGGGGACTCGAGTCATTGTGACTTGGACTCAAGTCGACTCGAGTCGCTGTTTTGATGACTTGTGACTTGACTTGACAAAAAATAAAAGACTTGAGACTTGACTCGGACTTGGAAGTTAAAGACTCGGGACTTGACTTGACTTGAGACACGATGACTTGAATGACTTGAGTGTTATTCACATCATGTTTTCGGTTAGAATATAAAATTAATAAATTAATTTAAAAAATAATGTTGATTACCCGGAGGAGCGCAGGCTGAGAATGGCATTGTCATGATTGGATCACTACCCTGTCAATCAGTCATGCCCTCTCTACATACCTTACGTGTTTATTGGAGAAACGGGCCCTCTTATATCAGATAGGCATCAACATGTCAGCGGGAGGGGTACCAAGAGTCATCGTCTTCGGCTTTCGGAATTACCATTATGACGGCAAAAGACGAACAGCACAGTGCAAGACATGCGGCATAAACATCTCAGACAGCCAGGCGACAACTTCAAACTTTGTTTGTCATTTGAAGAGTCATTCTGCCCAGTAAGTGCTTGTCAATTAGCTAATATTATCTGGTTAGTCGGTAGTTAGCTAACGTTATCTTGATACGATGAGGGGGTGGGGTGGGGTGGGGGGTGGGTCGGTTTGGTGGAACTTGTTTTTAATTTATTTGTTAACATTAACCCCAGAAAACGTGAGCGAACATTCCGACCGGTTCATCACAAGACCGGCTGTACATTTTATGAACGAGCAACACAGGGTTAAATGAGCTAAATGGGTGATTTTGGCCACTGCTTTGGTTAGTGTGTGTGTGTGTGTGTGTGTGTGTGTGTGTGTGTGCACGCACGCGTGGGGGTCGTCCCTGCAAAGTAAACATTGCAGCGATGAAGTCAATGTTTACTGACAGTTACTTATATCTTGTCTTTTCACTTTATTAAGATCAGATTCTGCAGGTAAAATTACAATAATAAGGTGACTTGACTTGACTTGACATAACCTGTGACTTGACTTGACTTGCCCAAGAAAAAATGACTTGGGACTTACTTGAGACTTGAAGGTTAAGACTTGAGACTTACTTGAGACTTGCACATGTGTGACTTGGTCCCATCTCTGTGGATTTCCAGGGTAGCACTCTGGCACAAACTGGACCATTGGTAAATTTGTCACGCATTCTGAATGTACTGTTCGGTTATCCAGAGCACCACACTCTCAGTGGCAGAGTGCACTCTGGCCAGTGAAGAGGAGGACGACATGTGAATGGTTCCCTCCAGTTTGTTTTGCTATCAAAGGCTGATGTTAGCTAATGTGCCAAAAAGTTAGCATTATGGTGAAATCCAATATTCCTCTTAATACCCTCCCAGTTTCTGATGAGGTGGACATGATACCCCTTAATACACATAATGTTATTCATTCCTACAACAGTATATACTTTTTCCCTAATCTGATATGAAGTGTGCACTGCACATACAAGCATTTTTGATCATCGCCTCAGTCCAGTCCTTGGGTCTTATTGCATTTAACCATAATTGTCTTCATTTTTGTTGGTGGTTGGTATGTGATAAAATTCAAGTTTTGAGTCATGACCCCTTCTACTCTTGCTCCCAGTAACACAACAAGATGACATTTTAAGACTCCTATGTCACCTGCAACCCAGTGGTGGCGAGTTATGTTTTGCCTCCAGCTAATAAACTGATGTCATTGTGATGTCAGCCCTTTATTTCTAAACCTAACCAGGTCCTTTTGTTGACATCCTGGCGTTGGTTACTGCGTCCCAGAACATCAACAGCAGACGCATGGGGATACGTAGCGGGTAATTTGTTGACGTGAAAGTCCACTGACAAAGTGGCAATAGGTGATGACTTGGGATGAGAACATGTTATCATGTGACTTCACCTGTTCTCTGCAGAAAACTCTTCTCATAGTTCAAATATGTCTTCAGCCACGCAGGACACTCGCTGGTGAGGAAGTTCTTCTTTTTTGCGATATCAAATTTATTTCCATCCCACTCTTGTTTAATCATTTCAGCTTGTGGGTTCTCAGCGATCCATGTCTCTGTCTCCATGGCAAATGTGAGAAAGTCCTCTCCATTATAACCATACTTGTTAAAACCATGTACCTTTTCAGTCTCATCATCCCAGTCACAACCCGAAATCTGCTGGTGAATGTGTACACCTAAGAGACAGAAAAGAGACTGCAGTGAAATTCTAGTACAATCAACTGTTGATATTACGTCTTTACCAGAGATTAGAGTCTTCACAGGTCCACAACAATGGACCCAAACCTGAATTAACCTGCAAAATTATTTTAGAAATCCAATTTGACCCAGCTAATTTAAAAATATTCATAAGCCAATCCCTTTGTGTCTTAGATATAACAGACCAGACGTGGTTCATGTCCAAGGCAAGAGGGACCATGCTCATTCAAATTGCTACTAAAAATGCAGTTCTCTTTGTTGTTGTTGTTGCTATGATCTGCACCAGTTTAATAAACCAGGTTGTATCAGCTGTAAAACTGTTGTTATAATTGGGTTTCCACTGAAGAGTTATTCTGATCTAATCAAATGGGAAAAAATGAATGAACTAGCAATCCAGGAAAAACATTTATTTTAACATACCTTCAGTTTGGTTTAAGTGCTGCTTGAAACTGTCAGTTTGAGCTTTAAAGAGCTCCTGATAATTCATGCAAGCTTCAACGCTCCTTTGCCAGTATTGTGGTTCTTCTTTCCTTAATTTTCTCACCCAGTCTTGTCTGGGTTCGTGTGTTGCCATGTTGCTGTCAGAGTAAGCCATAATCACTTCATCAATGTCTGCCATGACCAAATAATCTGGGATGTTTGGGACTCCAGAGGACACCATGAGGTAAAACGTTAGGGAGTGTTTCACTGTGGGACAAACAGACAAACGGACAGAGAAACAAATCTTAAGTCATTTAAATGTATTGTATTTATCTTTATCTTTGTATTTATCTAACATTATTTTAATAGCTGTGAATTTGGAAGTGTATCTGTGTTCCCATAGTTCTTCTTCTTTTAATTTATTGGGCTGCGATTACTTTAGGAACTGATCTTCTAATGAAAAGAGCATCTATATTTAGACAAAGAGCTGTGCCAGAACAATTTTAGACTCCTTTCCTAACACGTTAATTAAACAAACTAGTCCATAGCCATTGGTAGCTTTGTCACCTTCTACCTATGCCAATCCTCAATGCCTATGTGCAGTTTCACATACATTGACCACGTCAGTGAGTAGAAAAACGTGGGACAGACAGAATGACTGACTGACAGAATGACACACTGACAGTTTCCGTGATTATGTACAGCATACCATACCATGACTTAGTCATACCAAAAATTAGAAAAAAAACAACAACATTGGGCCACAGTGGGAGCCACAGCGATCGGTCACATTTTAGCCATTTTTAAGCATTTTTCTGTTGTTATAGCGCCACCCAGTTGCCAATTAGAGTTAAATTTCTCCAGTCACCTCGAGGCGTCCTGTTCTACATATCTACCAAGTTTAGTAAAAATCGATATGGCGGTTAGGCCTAGATAAGAAATTAGCTCTCTAGCGCCCCCATTTTGTTTGATCGGGTCAATAATGGAGGGGTCCCCTCAGATTATGTGTAGTCATATGCCTACAAAGTTGCGTGGTGATCAGTGAAACCCTTGAGATGTTATACACCTTTATGTGATGAGCCACGCCCTCCGCAATATTCATTGCCTTATAGAAGCTCAGTTTTAGTAAGTTTTCCAACTTTTGCCAAGAGGGAACTTTAGATATTGGTCCCTAGATTACGTTCACCGAGTTTCATGCATATCGGTCAAACTTTCTAGGAAGAGATCGATTTTAAGTGTTCAAAAATTCAAAATGGCGAAAAATCTATATAACCGGAAGTTATGGGTTCTTGAGTCAAATTTGTTCCTCATGAGGAGAGGCATCTCTGTGCAAAGTTTCATGTCTCTACAACATAGAGGGCATGAGATATGCCCATTCAAAGTTTGCAATTTCAATTGGTTGCTATAGCGCCCCCCTTTGGCCAATTGATGTAATATTGCTTCATTCGCATCCTCCCATGACCCTCTACCACTGTGCCAAATTTCACATGGATTGACCAAGTCAGTGAGGAGAAAAACGTGGAACAGACACACAGATGGACACACAGACAGAATTTTTGTCATTATATAGTTATATAGTAAGATACAAAGCTAGGAAACATCTTTGTTAGGTTCCCATTATGTGCTATATAGAGCTGAGGAACATAGGACTCAGGGAAGATAGGGCCCTGGAAACACTGGGCTGAGGGAACACAGGGCTGTGGGAACATAGGACCCTAGAAACATAGAGCCCTAGGAACACGACCCTGGGAGACTTCTTTTGTAGAATTTGGGAACATAGGACATAGGGAACATAGAATCTGGGGAACATAGGACTAAGGGAACACAGAACCCTGGAAATAGAGGACTGAGTGAACATTGGACCCAGGGAAAATAGAGCCAAGTGAACATAGGACCTGCTGGGAACATTGGACCCTAATAACACAGGATCCTGAGAAAAATGGACTAGGGAACAAAGGACCCAGGAAACATAGAACCCTGGGAACATAGGACTGAGCGAACACTGGACCCAGGGAAAATAGAGCCGAGGGAACATAGGATGCTTGGAAGATAGAATCAAGGGAACATAGGACTGAGAGAACAGAGGACCTGAATATAGGACCCTGAAAACATAGAACCCTTGGAACATAGGAACCAGTGAACATAGGACCAAGAGAACCTAGGACCCTTGGAACATAGGATCCAGGCAACATAGTACCCTAGGAATGTAGGATCAAGGAAATATTGGTCCCTGGGAACATCTGACCCTGGGATCATAGAATCCTGGAAGAACACATATGAGAACTGGGGAACATAGGACCCTTGAAGTATAGGAATGACCCCATCACTTCCCTGAACACATTTTTTTCAATATGGGACAAAACAGTAAGAATGTATTATAACACTGTTCCTACTGGTTTTATAGAATTTGTGCCCAGTAATGAATACTATGTGTCGCTGATGCAGCAAAGAAAAATCTTTGGGTGTATTTCAGTGCAGGACAAACAAGATTTCAACATTATATTCATAATGTCTGTATAGTCTCATCAAGATGAGGTAAGGGGGAAACTAAATCCCAGGTGTGTCCCTGAAGCAAAATGCAAAGCTGAGTGAAAAGTGAAGTATACATTTTAAATGTGATCTTACCTGGAGATGAGACATGACAGCAGAGAAGCAACAAAAGTAACTTTATCATCTTGTTGTATTTAGGATGTGTGGGTTAGGGACCGAGCTGGTTTAGCTGTTTTGTTCTCGGTCCAGTGCTATTTCCTTGTGGGGGAGGTGGGAGTGTCTCTGTTCTGATGATACAGAAATTCGGGAACTTGTTTCACTTCTGTAATGATCACTGTTTCAACACATCTGAGCATGTTTTCAAATGAAGAAGAACATGACTGATGAAATCTGAAGCTTCACCACTGGTATTTCAGAAAATCTTCCCTTTACAGTTCTGAAGGTTTTGCAGTTAAACTTTGTGATTGACAGATAAGTTGGATAAGAAGAGAGGAAAATAATTAAACTAGAACACAAGCCCACAGAATCGCTTTGCTCTACATCAATATTTTAGCAAAAATGTTTTATATGTAGGATTTCTGGATGATGCATTCATAATATAAAAGAGGAAGAAGAAGATTTACTTTTATTAATCCCAGAGGAGAAATTCACTCTATTGTCATACACACAGGCCCAAAATACGCACACATGCACAAACAGGACCTATACATGCATTAAATGGAGAGATGTCAGGGTGAAGGGCTCCCTTGGATGGGTGCCCCGAGCAGTTGGGGCTTCAGTGCCTTGCTCAGGGGAACCTTAGCCGTGCCCAGGAGGTGAACTGACATCTCTCCAGCTACCAGTCCACAGTCCATATTTGGTCTGGATGGGGACTTGAGCCTGCTGCCCTCCAGTTTCCAACCCAGGTCCCTATGGACTGAGCTACAGCTACCCCACTTTAATGCAGCACTTCTGAAGAAAAGCATTTATGATAATAACATGCATATATCTGAGACTTTTATTGCACATGTGGGACCAAAACTATTAAAATAAGATGGAGGTGTTTTGACTTCAGTCTTGAAGGAATGCTGTGAGTTTTGGAAGCCACCAGATGTCACTGTGCTGCTGCATTTGAGGCCCCAAAGCTTCATAAGGATTCATCCGCCCATCACAAGTTCTGACTCGACTAAATTAGGGACTGTACAAAACTTACTAGGACAGGAAGGGGGTGAATACTGTTTAATTTTATCTAAAAAAACATCTTAAATTCACATCTATGTTCATTTTGAAAGAAAAATCATACTGTGCAACCAAATTATTATTGTTTTCATTGCTGGTGATAATTTTAATCATATTGAGAAATTAAATCACTATTCCTATTTTTTATAGGAATGGGAATCTGTTTTTCTGATTTACCCAACACACATACTGTACTCAAAAAACAAAACAAAAAAAAAAACATACAATCTGAATGCATCTTTGAAACACTTTATTTGCTTTAATCATATTTACCTGACATACAAGTTTCTGTCTTAACGTACCATTTGTCTTTTTGTCCACTGGATGATAATTTAAAAACCAGCACAAGGCTAATTTCATCAGTCTAAATCTGTCTGACAGGGAGGTGGACCAGCTGTATGTGCCAGAGCAAATAAAAATAAATGAGCTCACAAATTCTTCTGGTTCCTATTAGAGTAAACATCACTTATTTTTATCTACAATTACCATCGCTGGTCTTTTTTTTTTCTTTTTCTTTTTTTAAATGTAATGTAACAGAAGTTTTACATTAAATGGTAAAACAATTTTAGAAGCTTGTAGCTTTAGGCAGCTTGTTTAACTGGAGGTGTGAATACTTAATGTCACAGCACGAACTGCTCTGTAGTCCTACATGACGTCACTTGTGTGCAGTGAGCTCAGAGAGCTCAGAGCTGTTGACAGGAGCTGTGAGGTCAGAAACACACTGTTAGTCCTTTATCCTGCACTGAACTACATCAGCTCACACTGAAATACTATTACAATTAAAACCCTTTTAAATCTACAGAGTGTGAGTCAGATCAGAGACAATACAATATAAATAAGTTCTACTTACGAGGTGCATGGCGACTGGCTGAAATATGAGGAAAAGAGAAATTTCAGTTGTCACAGTTTAAAATGCCAAAACATTTTTATTCTCACGTCTTTCATATAAATCAATGAATAAAACCTGTTTCCTTGTCTTTTTAGATCTCTTTATATTTTGTGTATTAGATACTCTGTGGCTTACAGAGCTAAGGCTGATTGCTGCACTATTAAATGTTGCTTCAGTTTAGCAGTCTGAATATGAGCATCAGCTCAGCTGCTCTGAGTCTCTCACCTTTCTTCTTTTTATAAACTGTAAATCCAACAGCAGCAATGAGGACAGCAGCAAGAACAACCACTGCAGCAGTGATCGGGACGGTCATGTTACTGGGCTCCTCTGCTCAGACCATATATAGAAAATAGAAATGAACAAAGAAAAAAGATCATAACATGTGCAGACGCATTTAAAACAGAAGTACATCCATCTATTTGTTCATCACACATACAGGTGGTGAATACAGACAGTGTAATCTATACGACAGGAGCCATCAGTGTGTGTGTGTGTGTGTGTGTGTGTGTGTGTGCAGAGATATACAGTACTTAAAGGGCACCACATACATCAGGTAAGCTAAACTGATACATGTTAGTGACTTTGTTGTTTTTAATCAGAGATATTTAAAGAGTGGACAGGCAGCATTAAAGACACCTGTCATTATGTGGTGAGAAAAAAACAACATTTAAAAACAAGCACCTCAAGCTGGACTCGAAGGTTATTATTTTATTAATATTATTAATATTTTTGCTGAAGGCCTACAATACAACCTAACCAAAGGGAGTTTATCAAAAGAAGTAACACTAAGCAGTGATGGTCTAACTAAAGACACTGTTGAGATGCATTATGGGAAATGCAGGACCCAGTCTTTTGGGGGATTTTGAAGACAGGGGGGCCTATCTTACACCCGGTGCGTAGTGGCACACATTGCAATGCAACTGTCAACCAGCACCCACGTTGTGTAAGTAGCAAATGTATAATTGATAGCGTATTGCTAATTTGCGGCATTAACTGACAAAACCTGGTGTAAAGTAAGAATGACGCAGTATTTTCCTGCTACTTAAAGGCTGTACTATTCAGATATCAAGATGCACCTACATAGGCAGATTCACAACACATGTACACTCTGCTGGTGACACACACAGGGCAGGTGGGTGAAATAATACATCATGAACAAGGAAAATATTAATGATATTCTGTACAATGTGAACAGAACAACAGAGCTGCAGAGCTGCTGTCTGACTCCACATTAAGAGAGATGATGTGTGCATTTACTCATGAGGAGCAGAGTAACTTGGCTGATTATTTCAGAAGCTAAAAGTTTAGTTCTTTTACCCTAATTAGGTTTTAGTTTTGCTGCTTTAGTGTGCTACAATATTTGCTGCAGTGACATTACTGCTCTTACTTCATCACTCTCAGCAGAAAACAGCTAGCTTCCTCAGTTTAATGTGCCGTTTAACCAGCAAAGTGAAGTTGGACACACCCTTGATGCACTTGTGCCATGCACCTTAGACACTGTAGTTTGTTTAACTAGGGCCCTAAAGGTCAGGATATACTGGACTTTACTGCTATGCCTTTCATAAGTTAGACTGCATGATGAAAATGCGTCATGTGGTATACGATGTGAGCCACCCCCGAGGATTAACCGGGTCAGATAAATAACGTATACATAGCCCCGGGTGTCTGCAAAAAATACATTTGTATTATGTTTTAGTAATGCAGAGCACTAATACACATACACATGTGGATACATAAATAGCTGTAGTGCCTCCTTCACCATGAGTCCTTTAGATCGGTAAAATATGGTTGATGTTCAGTATGTTTTCCAGAAATCAGTGTTGATTGACTTCTCCTTTTTTCAGATGCACCCCTGTATTTTGAGTGAATCAGTCTGGGGCACACAACTCTTTTACCATCCGAGTTTGGGTGTCCTCTCTGCCCCAAATTTAAAACCAAAAATGAGAACGCGATCCAGGGGCACTTGAAAAACCATATGGAAAATGCAGTTCATTTCTATGGTATACTGATGAGAAGTATCTGTTTGAGATGATATACTTCTACATTTAACAGTAATGTTTAATGATATTTGTTTGGGACAAGACAAGACATTTTAGGCTGCATCTTGGGATCCTGTGATTTGTGGAACAGTGGTTGACATTTTATACCATTTTCTTACATTTTATAGATCAAACAAATAAATTCTTTTACTCTTTTTCCATTTTTTCTGGAATAAAAACTTGTTCACAAAAAAGAGAACTCCAAGTCTACTTCTTTATTTTGCTAGTACAATAGTGTAATATTGTGTTTACATGTGCTCCTGAAATATAGAATACATCTGACAATATGACAATCTAATTATTACGTTCATTTAATAGTTAAATAGTTACCATTAACCATACTGATGTAAGAGTAAGTATGACATTTGCTGTGTCCATGGTTTTCAGTTGTTTTGAATGACCTGATTGTAATCTGCATGTTGCAACTGTAGCCCAATAAATGAAAGTGCTCACCTTATTTAATCTTTGTTAAAAATTAAACCAGATAAAATTCATTTGTTTGCTGATTTTCTGCAATTTTTGTAGGTTTAACTTGTTGGGGTCAATGTTATTCCAAACAAAACATGATTGTATTTAAAATAATTGTTGAAATAATTGTATTATTATTATTATTTATTTTATAATATATATATATTTAGAATTGTTGACTGCTTCAAATTTTGGAAATGTATTGCTAAAATAAATAATATAAAAAAGACAGACTTAAAAACCGACTTCTTGTGAAAAAAACAAAACAAAAAACTGACTTCCAGTATGTACTGTATACAACTTCCGGTATAGACTTCCAGTATGTATACACAAAGAATATTAACCTCCGGTATGGACTTGCGGTATGTATTGGATATATGACGGCGCCCTTGTCCGCCATCTTGCCTGCAGCTGGATACCCTTGAAAATGACGAGAGAGTCAAACAATGACATCATTTGTCATTAAAAAACAGCAACAACAACAACAAAAACAATTCACCTTTCCTATTTCTAAACGCAGTTTTGCCCCTGTTGGTCCTGATCACTGCTTTGTCCAGTGTGGTGACGATGTGGTCCTTCACACCAGAG